CTCCCTGCATGGAGCCTGCTTCTCCCTCTCCCTGTGTCTCTGCCTCTATGTCTATGAAAAATAAATAAGTAAAATCTTAAAAAAAAAAAAATTACAAGGACTAAAAGCTCTTAGTTTATGAAATTTTAAAGGAAAAAAAGATTCTTGGTTTCTTTCAAAAAGTGAGAAACTTTTAAGTTGATCATTTAAATTTTTTTTATAAAATAGGAAAATGAGACTCTTAAGTCTTGAAAAGGTAGTGCTTACTTTTCCTATCAGAGATATATATTTCCAAGTTTCCCTCTAATTAAAAACAAAAACCTGCCCACTTTATAAATGGTCCTTAACTGGGGTTTAATAATATTGCATACAGGACCAATAATGAAAGGTGGCAGTTTTAAAAGAGAAAAAGCAGGTGTATGAGACCATTTTCTCTGGTGAGAGAGAACCCTACTAAACAAGGTGTTGGACTGTAAAGGCTAGACCCTACTTCTAACAGTGTCAAAGGTGGCTATGTAATAGGTAATATCAATGCGATATCGTTAACATGTCAATGACATCACCTATCCTGCTAAAACCGGACTAGGTACCAGGAGTAGAAAGATGAACTCTCCACTCATAACGGAGCCATAACATCCTAAATATCCCAATGAAAACGTTATACACAACAGGAACCAGGTAGCTCCAATTTATCATTACTTTAAAACCAGTATTTCCCGAATGCCTTTCCTAAAGGGTAAGTATCCATAAAGGAAACTATAATTTAATGTAAAGCTTCGATTTTAACCAACATAAATCAATTTTAATAAAAACATCAATAGTACTGACATCTTGGAAAAGTGATGTTTTCAATTAAAGGTGAAGCTGTGGCACTAAACTCAGTATTTGAACGTTCCCTAACTTCAAAGATCTCAAATTTAAGATCATAATTTTAATAAAAGTGTTCAAGTATTATAATGATGCAACATCTGCCCTCCTAACTTGCTTAAACTTTTGTCTTTTTTAACCCCCAAAGGGATTCATATATCTCATTTTGGACCTGACAGTCTATGGATTTTTATTTGGAAAATTACTTCTAGGGGGCCTGGGTGACCCTTGACATCAGCTCAGCTCTTGATCTCAGGGTCATGAGTTTAAGTCCCATGTTGGGCTCCACCCTGGGCATGAAGCCTACTTAACAAAGTTATTTTTTGAATTAACAAGTTACAATGTATTACAGTGTACCCATTCAAACATTAAATCCGTAAACATCTAACACTCAGTCAAATCCTTCAATTTGTTATAATCTGGAGTTATTTTTCAATCGTACTACAATAATAAGAAATAACTTTCTAAAATTGAGCTAAGTCATTTTTGGGCAGGGAACTGAGGATTTCTAAAGTTGTTTCTTAAAAATTAGGAGGCATGTCTAATTCGGTGTGTTCAGCTTACGTTATTAAAATTGCTTAAATGGGAGTACATTAATAACTTCTAATTTTCTTAGTGTGAAGATCTAGAATTTGTTATTCGCCATAGAAACAAAATATGTTAACAATTACCAGATACAGTTCACATGACAATTTTGCAGATACATACTGATCATGAATGCTCTTAATTAATCAGGTGGTGTATACAAAACTATCCTCATTTAAATCTGTCCCATTTTTCATGATCAACACACCATTATACTTTTTCTAAACTAGACCCTCAATTCAGGCTCTAGGGCACTCTGACCTAAGAGACACCATAAATGTCAATCAAAGGCAAAAGTTTGTTTTAACCATTTGTCATTTTAAGAAGTGTACCATGCTTCAGCAAATTATCAGAAAGTTTTGTTTTTCTAAGGTTAGCTCAGAATTCAACTACCCTTACTTAAATTTAGTCTGTATTTTTAGTATCATGTAACGTGCTACTTTCAATATTGTGAATTATTTGGCCTACTACTTACTACTACTGACAGCATGAACCACAGGACTGGAGAGCAGTCGTTTCCCTGGTACTGTTTACATTCTTCTGTTAAATTCAGAATCTATTCCTGAGGTCTATGTTGCACTGATCATAGTTGCAGTTGCATGTAAAGTGAAACAAATCCTAACTAGATAGATGATGGTAAAGAAGTCTGAAGAAAAAAAAAAAAAAAATCCCTCATGTCCCTCAGAAAGAGAGACTCCACGTGTTACTAATGATAGGCACTGCAGTATAAAATGTCAAAATTATTTCTGTGAACAAAAACTATCTGTGAAATTTAACAAGTATTGATACTTCAGTTGAGCTCAGCTCTGATTTCAGGTTGTAGCTCTTGGGACTGTCCAAATAGTCACAGAGGCAAGACTTAACTACCTGTCTAAAGTGTACTGTAGTGCTACCCTGTTTTTATCAAAGGCTCTCCCCACCTTCCTCGGCTGCAAAACAAGAACTAGAAATTAAATTCCAAAGCAGTATAACACCAACACCCCAACTTGAAAATATTATCTGTAAAACTTATAAACTGAAACAAAAATAAAACCAAAAGACAAGATTCTGCAGTCACAAGTACTTTAATTTTTTAAAAACAAATCACGTATTCAAAAATAAACAAATGGCACCAGTCTACTCTGAAGTTGGTACAAGTAAAAATAAATTAAGAGGTTCTGTCTCAGAGATAAGTGCTGAGAAGTCAGGACCACACCGGACCATCTCTACTACATACTGATCACTTGGCTAATCTGTAAAGTTGGATTCAGTACACTGCCCTCAACAGTAACATTCAACTGTCACAGCTATTTTACTTTAAAAGGTCAAATAACCCAAACCGTTTAAACAGCTTTATTTTCAAAAATCAACATTACAAAGCACAATTTCTACATTTGGAATTCTTACAGTACCAAGTAGAAGTATCACAGTACAATTTTCCACAAGATCGTAGCACACAAATCCAGGACTCCTTCACTTCCTTCAACTGTCAGTACCCTGCACCCTGTTTAAGTGGCTGCACCTGAAAACCAAGGTATGCGATTCCTTAGGGTTAGGAGCCGTCAAGCATCTGGGGGTGAGAGAAGAGTCTATTACCCCTGGGTCTGAACCCGGTTTCCACGACACGGTAAAGCCGCGGCGGTGATAAAACGTCTACGAGCGGCCACCAGTCCATACTGGAGCCCCCCGCCCCGGCAGACGTGGCCGGCGCTAACACTTCTACACCAACTAACTTTAGCTCGGTTATCGACCAGGAAGGACCCTCTCGCGAAATCTAGGTCTATAACGTCTTAGGTCGGGTCTTGTCTTCCCCTATGTCGAGAAACCAGAAAGAAGGCGAACTGACACTTTATTACTATTATTTTTAAAGGCAATAATATAGTTCCAGGCTTTAGAAGCCCTACGTACCCCACGAGGAGTCTGCAACAGAGTCTCCCGAGATCGAAGGGAAAATTCAGGGTCGCTCTATCAGCCTCCGACTAACTGGACCCGGGGAGGAAGGAGGGCAGAGTCCCAGACAGAGAATACAGAAAGCCACAGGGTCCTCTCCTCCGACAGTCAGGCGTCCCGCGCACACCTGGGACCCCCGGGGCTGCAGCGGGGCGGGGGACCCCTGGACCTAGACCTCTGAGCCCGGCTATCTACACCAGCTGCCCCCGGAGCCCGGAGCCCGGAGCCCGGAGCCCGCGCTCCCCAGCGCCGGCCGCGCGCGCGCGCGCGCGCGCGGAGACCCAGGCGGCCCTGGAACGCCACCCAGCGGCCTGCGGAGGGGCTGCAGGCGGGCGCTCCGCGGCTCCCGGCTCCCGGCTCCCGCACCCCCACCGCCGCCCAGCCCGCTCCCCTCTCCGGATGCACAAGGCCCAGCCCAACAACTAACACCACAAAATGGCTGCCGGCAGCTTCGTCACGTGACCCCTTTGTGCCTTTCGGGCTCCCGAACTCCGCGGGACCCGGGGACAAGCGGCCGGGACCGGCGGGTGGCCTTCGAGGGGGCCCCGCCGGGCCGCAGCGGCCGGGGGCCGAGGCCGGGGGAGAGCGGGGGGAGGCCCGGCCGGCGACCGGAGTCGGCGGCGAGGAGAAGATGGCGGCCATTTTGTGAGGGTCTGCTGCTCCGCCGCCGCCGCAGGCAGCAGAGGGAGCGGGGCCTGGCGCCGGGTCGGACAGGGGAGTTAACACGTACCGACTCCTCTTCCTTCTCCATTCCGGTGGGCATCTGCGGCACGGCCCGGTTTATCGAGGCGTATTCGTGCAGGTCGGGCAGATCCTCACAGCGGAACACCGGCAGCGGCTTCGAGGCGTCTAGCGCCCGCGCCCGAAACGACAGTTTACTCATCTCAGGCGCAGCAGATACCTCTCCGCTCTGGGGAAACGGCCCCGGCCAGCGGGATCATGGAGAACCGGGGGTTCGGTCCCCACTCGCCTGCCGCTGCCGGGGACTTGAGGGGCGGAGCGCGGGGCCCGCCGTCCGGGCACTCACAGCCGCCGGGAGGGTGGGAGGCTGTGCCGCTCCGCGCCTCGCTCGCTCGCTCTCTTCAATACGCCATGGCCAACATGGCGGACATTAAAACTCCACTGTGCGCTCTTCAGCCAACCCCAGCCATTCCCCACACTGCATCGCGCAGCGGCGCGGGCACGCGGGGGGGGGGAGCGCGGGCTCGAGGCCGGCGCCGGCACGGAGCGCGCGTCCCGCCAACCCCCGGCGCCCGCCGGCCTCGCGGCTCGCCGCCCGCCGCCCGCCGCCCGCCGCTCCCTCTCGGCGCCCGCGGCCCCCGCCCTCTGCGGCCCGCAGGCCGGCGGGCGGGCGTTCGGGCCTCCGTTCCCTCCCTCCTTCGCGGTGCCCCGGCCTGACGGGCGGAGGTGCAGGCAAGCCACGCGCACCGGCACGCCGGCCAAGCGAGAGGCCGCGGCGGGACGACTGCGGGCGGGCGCTGCCTCAGCCCCGGGCACCGGTCGCCGCGAGCGGCCGGCGGGGGCGGGGAGACGCCGAGGCCGCCGCGCCCTCGGGGGTCAGCGGGCGCGCCCCCCGGGCGGACCCGGTGGGGGGACGCAGGTCTTGGAGGGGAAGACACCGACGACCTTAGGGGCAGGATGCCACTTGGGGCGAACTTTCACGGCGACGATGTTTACGTCCAGTGAGGCTCTGGGCTGTATCTGACGGGCTCCTAGCTCAGCTCCCACCTCTCGGGCTCCACGGAAGCGGGAGGCATCCTACTCCGCTCCAAAGTAGGTGTCGGGTTGGTTTGTTTTTGTTTTTGATGTTGCATTTTATCTACCTAGATTCGCTCTTTTATTGTAACCCAAGCAAAAGGAGTTATTACCGGACCCTGTCACCTTAAGGGAAAAGAATTTGAAGACCTACTTCAAAATTTTAGAGTCAATTAGTTATATGTACCTTACAATTGTGTGTGTGTGTGTGTTTTTTTTTTTTTTCTGAAAGAAAATGCTGCTTCAGCAGAGCCATGGGTTCACACTTGGCATGTGTCTTCTGAAAAATTTTCTAAAATTGAATCATACAAAGACCTGTAGTGCTCCTGCCAAATCAAAAAAGAAAAAAAAAAAGGCGGGGGGGGGGGGTTGAAACTGTAATATTATTATAAGAGGTTTAGATGGATGTGGTTTATATAATGCATGAAAATTGGTATCTAGAAAAGTATCTCCGTGAGATATTTTAGAAATCTAGAAAGACCGTTGGGGTGGGTTTCACAGGCTTGCCAACAAATACTCAAACGTTCACTGAGATACAGAAATGGTTTATTAGTCTGCTTTTCCCCTTGGGGGCTACAGAGTAAAAATAATCACTATTCTGAAATACTGGGTTAGATAGGAACTGTTCCTGGCTTCAAGCACATACACAGGCGACTTCTACCTTTCAGGTTGCCATGTGGGCAGAAGACATTGAGTGCGTAGATCACAGTTCTAAAAAATTACCCGAGAACTCTAACAGTGGCAACTGACCTCTGTGAGGCCGAGCGACTTTCATCTACATTTCCTATACTAAGACTGCATTTATTCAACAAGCAAACATTTGGTGAATCCTCCTGGCCTTCTAAGTATGCTGCTGATTACCTGTCACCCACAGAACTCGTGGAAAAGGACCTAGAGATGACCACGGCCACATGTGAAGCTTAATGATGGAAGTGCAGGCCATCGTGAGAAGAGGCAGGAGTGGCACCCAGTCCACATGCAGTGACTCTTACGAAAGCATTCAAGGAAGGTTTTTTGGAGGAGATGATATCTGAGTCAAATTGTGTAGGATAAATATGAGTTAACCTTGTCCAAAAAATGCAGAGAAGAAAATCAGCAAGGGAAGCAGCAGATGCAAAGGCAGCCACGAGAGCCCATGTCAAATTATGGGAGCCTCAAAACTGCCAACCATACTGTAAATAGACCCCTCTTTAGGCAGGTTTAAGAGTTTCAACTCAATATTATATTGTAGTCTTCTCCAGCGTACAATATTAGATTTCTGGGATCCCTGGGTGGCGCAGCGGTTTGGCGCCTGCCTTTGGCCCAGGGCGCGATCCTGGAGACCCGGGATCGAATCCCACGTCAGGCTCCCTGTGCATGGAGCCTGCTTCTCCCTCTGCCTGTGTCTCTGCCTCTCTCTCTCTCTCTATGACTATCGTAAAAATAAAAAAAAATTTTTTTAAAAATTAAAAAAAATATTAGATTTCTGAAAATCCTACAAGTAGACTTCTGTTGGCTTTACAAATGACTTCATAAAGTCTTTACAGACTTTATAGACTAAGACTTTATAGGACAAACTAGGGTCTTAAGTTATGAGTGAACCACCAAGGGAACAAATATATGTATTTTTAAGCGGCATTAAAATAACAGCTTATGGGGGTTTTTTCTACATCCCTACTGAGCACTGTACAAATCAGGTCCTTGTTCTCTAGAAATTCTAGAATCATCCTCCATGGCAAGTTTGGAGAGATGCTTACAAGTTAAGCTTGCCTTTTTGCAAATAATATGCCTGCTGAGTGACATTTTTCAGACTCCCAGTCCTACTGGTTCCCTAAGGACTCAAAGGCTGGAATCCCAAACCTCATACTGAATTCACTTCCCTCCCCCCTAAGGGTCAGGAGTACATCAGGTTTAAATGTAGGGAATACAAGAAAGATTGTGATAAAGGGATACCCAGTTAACCAAATGACCAGTACAAGGCAGTATGGTGAAGGATAGTGCTATGAAGTTCAGAAGAAAAAGGCAGTTCCAGCAGCACTGATTATGGAGGGGATAGCATGTGATTTGGTTGTGAAGGATAACATACTCCAGTTGGCAATGGCAATGAACTAGTAGAAGATAGAGTATTGATGGGAAAAAGCAACTGTAAGAACAAAACAGTGAGAGGAGGCAAACCTAGCTGGTATGTGAAGGTAAAGGAGCTTTATCTGGCCAGAGTTCAGTAGGAGACTCCAATAACAAACCAGGGAAGGGTAAAACTGGTAAGAACTTGGGTTGAGGGAGTAGGAGCAGAAAGTTAAAGAGATAAAAGTTTTAATCGTCATTATGATTACTCAAAATATCATCATGCTGAAATATGCTTCATTTCAATTTATACTGAATACAGAACTTTTGCTGAAAACACAACAAAGAATGTGTGAAATGCAACTGCTCTGGCACTGCAGTTTGCTATATATAATAAACCTGAAATACGGTTCTGAATTTTAGTTCATGGCCAATATGTGTCTGAGTCTTACTATTTATTCTTGGAAATTGTACCCAGGATTCATTTCCTTATTTCCATTCCCATCATCTTAACCATAGTCCCAGCTCTCATCACTTCCTGTCTAGAAGCGACCTACAATACAATTCATCCTTTGTTCATGCATTCTTTCAATAAACTGATATTAACCACCTACTTTACAGAAAGCTGCAGGTACTCTCATAACGGCTAGTTGTGACCAGTAGTAGCTGGAAGAAGCTTGGTTTCATGGGGATATGAGGAACAACAGGGGTTCATAATGCATGCCACAAAATCAGTGTGCCTAAATCCCCATTCCATATGTATCCTCCCTTACCCAAGTCACTTATTTATATCTGCTCTTTATTTGCCCATCAGAAAAGCCAATTTTTTATTATTTTATTTTATTTTATTTCTTTTTTTGGTATGGTTGCTAGGGCCTCAAAACTTTGTCCAACCTCGTTTCCTGCTATTGCCTAAAACAAACTCTTCACTCTGGCTGCTAAGTCTCATCACCATCTTTAGAAATCAGCAAGCAGGTCTTTCCTGCCTCTGGATTTTCATTCATTCCTTTCTCTCTATTCTCCCTGTCTGGCTTCAGATTGACCATATATTTCTAGCTACTGAAATGCCACCTCACAGGAAAGTTCGGAAGATTCAATAAAACAATCCATGTAAATCCATGGTCTCTGACCCACAGTAAACCTTCAGTAGTTGTAAACTATTATTATCTTTCAATATCTAATTCAAATATCATGTCCTCCATGAAATTCTGACTACTTAATCACTCTGGGTTCTAATTTCCTAATCGGAAAAGTGAGTGAGTGGTTAGGCGAGTTCAAAATCATTCTTAAACCTACACCATTCTTTCTCATCTCTGAACTCCTATTACACTTTCAATCAGTAAGAATAATAACCACCATTTACTATGTGCCAGGCAATGCAGAAGTACATTTTAAATGCATTATCTCATTTAATTTTTATTGAGTTCTATGAGATCTGTCCTGTGAGAGAGGCTGCAAGACCTGCCTGTGGTCGGTCACACAAGGCTGGTGAGCAGCAAAGCTGAGGCTGAAATCCCTGATGTCTGATTCCAGAGTGAAGCACACATAACCAGATTATAAAGTGAAGTGAGGAGTGAACTAGAAGTGAGGAAAAAGAGATGTTGAATATGGCCTACCCTTTCCAGAGGCCTGGCAATGAAGGGAGGAGAAGCAGAGTCAAAGGGGTAGCTATCTGGGTCACAGATTTTGTTGTTTCTGAAGGGGGGAAAGATGTGGCCATGTTTGTATACTAAAAGCAAATGTAAATGGATTAACTTTAGACGTTCCTCTGAGGCAGGAAGGAAGGAGGGCAAGAAATTGTGATCCAAAGGATAGTGATCCAAAGAAGTTAAACTCTCTTTGATGGGACAATAAGATTTAAAAAATCATGATGCCAGTTCTGCTCGCAAGAATCTAGATTCTCCATTCCTTTAAGTATTCAACAAATATTGATTGCAGGTTTACTAAGAACTAGGTAAAAAAAAAAAAAAAAAAAACTAGGTAAAGCAGTTTGTGCTGGAGAACAATGATAAATAAGACATGATCCCTATAGCCTCGCAGAGCTAGTAATAAAGTGAGATATTGCCTTTATATTTAATTGGGAAAATATGAAATTCATTTCTTTAAAATGTGTGAATGGATAATCTCAACATGAGACAGTGATACAGTGCCATAATGGAAAGCATTGTGCAAAAGCACTGAAGACTGACAATACATTTTCACTTCAAGTTATCATTTTTAACTGCTTTTTATTTTCATGATAAGCTATATATAATGAAATGCACCAAAGAATTCTTCCAATATAAAATGTAGGAAAATTAAAAACTGGAAACTCTTTAATGTGTCTCCCGCCACCCCGGGAAATATATAATTGCAATATATTTAATACAGTGTCGAAGAAACAATACCTGAACTAATTTATTTACAGAGTTGATTTATACATGGAATTCTGTACACAATATTTAAGGTCTAGCTTTGATATATTCAGAATATAACCAGAAATAATTTATCTCTACCTTAAAAGAATAAAGAACAAGTTATTAATCTTAGAAAACTGTAGCAGGATGGATTCAAAGTTATTTCATTTCACCTTCATCCCCAATACAAACTTTAACCAAAATTAAAAAAAAAAGGAAAAAAAACAAAAAACAAATTGGGCTTGTTTGAGAATGAATTAGAATATTTTTAATAATTCATAAAGTGGTGCCAGCAGTATTGAAATTTAAAACTTAAAGATAATAAAGTATATCTTGTTGTGTAATTTAAAATCCTAAATTTAAACAAAATCTACCTTGATCACAGAAGGAATTTTGCCTGAATTTAGACCACACGCCCTAGAAACAAAAGGGGTGATTAGGTAAGTTTAACCATTTTTAGGACTCGGGTTCCTTAATTCCCAGGTCCCATACATCATCTGGTCTCCCTCTCCTCCCAATTGTGGTAGGCAGTTGATGAGGCCTCTATGGCATCATGTTATCAAGGATACTACTAGGCTA